GGGGCCCAAGACGGTAGCCAGACCCCAGGGAGGGGTACAACTCTCGTGGGTGGTACATGGAGTAGTTCTGTCTGGTCTCGGGTCACGCTGCCTAGAATGCCCCAGTGCTGAGAGATGCCCCCTTTATAGCTCACAGCTCAGCCCCTTCCAGACCCAGGATCACAGCCCCTCCCCTCTTTGGGGCCCTGGAGTTGGGCTGGGGTGGAGACCCCTGGGGCCTGGAAGGGGTCCAAGAGGGGGCCGGATACCTGGATACCCTCCCCTTCTCCCATCCCCACCCACCCCCAGGCTTCATTAGCCCCAACCCCCTGCCCCCTCATTACATAATTAACTCCTCGGCCTGATTGATCCCCGGAGCTCGACAGGGACGCAGTTTGGCGCTTCCGGCCAGCTGGTCCCCGTTCCCACGGGGGGAGCCCCGGCTAGGGATCAGCTACTGATGGGCGGGGCCTAGACCCTGGGATGGAGCCTAGAGTCCTGGGGCAGACCTTGGCGCCCCGGACTTTCCTGGCAGGTGATCCTTCTTCACTTGGACGATGAGACTTGGAGGGATGAAGCATGACTGGAGGGAAGGAGCAGGGCTAGAGGGACGCGGCCTGAACTTATTGTTATGCCGGGCATCAGGGATCCTGAGGAGTCCGAAGCCGAGACCTGAACCCTGGAGTCTTTCCTGGTTCCCATTCTGAAAAAATCCCACCCTCGGCTAAGTCTCAAAAGTTTAAAGACGCCCACAGCTCCACGCTCTCTGACTGCTGGCGCCTGGATTTCCCAGAAGGTCCCGCGCTGGGAAACCCACGGAACTACACTTCCCAGCAGGCCCACCGCCGAGGTTCCGCGCGGAGCAGACAAGCAGATGCCGCTGGGGCCGCTGGAAATTGTAGTTGAGACGAGGGACCTGGCTAAAGTGGCGGTGCGGTTGCCTCCCAGGAGAGCTGCCCCTAGGCGGCGGCAAAACTTAGGCTGAGAAAACGCTGATCAGCTGAGGTCAAGGCATAGAGACCAGAGTGGGCTCCGGAATCTCCACAGGCAGTGAGACCCGCCCTGGGAGCTAGAGAAGATAGCTGAGCCCCGTGAGTGCAGGCTCCCAGCTTTGACCGCTGAGCCTACCCCATGCTTCTGGGATTCAGAAGGGAACAGGTCTACAAAGGCAGGAATGTACATTTGAGTACCTCCCTTCCCGCATTCCACGTGAGCCTGGGGCTGTCTCCAATCCATTGTTTTATTATGTACAAACGCTACAGAACAAGGGGAGCAGACACGCGCGGGGTAAGAGGGGCCCAGTGGGAGAAGTTCATAGGGCAGATGGTGCACTGGGGCCAAAAGAGCAGCACACAGGCCATATCTATAGGGCAGGCGGGGCAGGAAGGGGTTAAAAATGAGATCCAAGCCAGCCAGATCGCAGGGAGGTGCGGGGGTGTCGTCCACCTTGTCCACTTTCTGATCTCCCACCAAGGTCACAGTGCATGCAATAAAATATATGTACAGGAGCTGGATCCTTCCACTGCAGGGGCCCTGAGGGTCCAGAGCTCCCTTCGGGTAGAGGGAAGCCAGTGGCGCCCCCTGGCGGCCAGGCCGGGCTGGAGCCACATGCGTCAGAACAGGAGTCAGTCCCAGCCGTTGTCTTTGATCATGTGGTTGAGTTCAATAATGTACTTCCCCTCTTTGTACTTCTGGCTGCTCTCAAAGGCCTGTTCCTGAAAAGAGGGGAGAGGCTGTCATCCTTGGAGCTAGGGCCTTGCCAAACGGGACAGGGGTTGGGGAGTGGGTATGACTGGCCCCACTTTACATAGAAGTAAACTGTCACCCAAAGAAGCCAGGCCACTTGCCCACAGACACAGAGCTGGTAAATGGCAGGGCCAGGTTTCTCACTAACAGGAGATAGACAAAACTCTCTGAATTACAGAATTTTTAAGTACTAAAGTTGGCCCCAACAGAGAGAATATGGATATTTCTAAAAGGCCCAGGGATTACAAACTGGTAGCCTGAGGGCCAGTTTTGACCTATTCATGTGTTTTGTTTGGCCAGCAGTTTAATAAAAGTAACTTTAAAACACTATAATATGGGGCAGGCCATGTCACTCCCATTTGCCAGCCTGCCCCCATCTCCAGATTTATGTTGCCCCTTTTGCAGATCCACAGTATCTGTTTTGCCCTGTAAGCACTTGAGTTTTTGATGCAAGCACTTGAGTTTTTGACCTCTGGATTAGGCCACCTCTTTATTTTACAGAGGCCCAGAGAGGCCAAACCACCTGTCCAGGGACACAAAGCAAATCTGTGGCAGGGCCAGGGTCAGAATTCTGTCTCTGCCTGGGGCATCCACCTCACAGAGGCACCACAGTGCCACGAGATCCCTGAGGAATCCTGCCCCTTGCAGTTTCCCAAGAGCATCTTCTTTTGCTGCATCTAATCTGATCCCCATGACAATCGTGGGTGCCAGGTGGTGGCTTTATCCTCCACTGCCAGCTAAAGAAATGAGACTCAGGGTAGTGATACCAGACTGTGAACAGCAGCAGTGGCAATGAGGGCAGTGGAAAAGGAGGCTCATGGATCCAAGCTCCATGTTGCTGGGGGGTCTTGGGCAACTTCTCTGATCTCTGAATGGCAAGAGAAGCTGGTGGTCAAGGGTCTGGAGTTAAAAAACAACACAAGGATTCTAGTCCCTATTCTGTTACTTACCAGTGTGTGTGACCTTGGGGAAGTTACCTAACATCTCTGGGTCTTCCTTTCTTCTTTTGTAAAGTGAGATAATAACAGACTACTTACAGGATTGCTGTGATGATTGAATGAGCTAATACATGCCAAGTAAATAACAGTGCCTGGCACGTAAACATGCAATAAATGGTAATTCTGATTATATCTCATCTCTAAAATGGGAATGCTTGTGCCTGTGAGGAGAAGGATGAGTTAAGAGAAAAATTCTAAAAGCCCTTTCAGGATGTGAGAGAGGAGAACATGGTCAGAGAATAACATGGGTGAGCTGGGCCTCTACACTCTGAAAGATTACTAGATGACTGCTTGTGAGGAGGAGGTGATGTGAGGTCAGATCAAAGGCTAGCCTGGGGTCAGAGGTCACTGACTCACATATTTCCAGCCCAAAGTGGTCTTGCAGTTTTCGCAGTGGATGTCAGCGACAGCATGGAGGCCTGTCAGCAGCACCCGCTCCTCGGCTGGCCCGCAGCCCACGTTCACCCTGTGGGGACACGGGGGCAGTCCCAGGGAGGGTCCCGCCATCAGAGAGCCCCCCTCTAGCTTGTATCCAACTGTGTCTGTCCTTAGCATTCAAGAGAAGGGCGATCACAGCTTCCTGCCTAAACCAGGGGACTCGGGAGTCTCAGCATGATGCCAGGGGTTACAGATCACAACAGGTAAAGAAAGGAGACTGAATACTCACACAGAGTTGAAGAGGTAGGCACGCCCCTGACTGCCCTGGAAGGACTAAAGGGTGGGAAGGAGAAAGGAGGGGAGGTCAGGGTTATTGGTGGGGAGCTGCCAGGCAGCCCCGCTAGCCTCCCATTCCAGCCCCAACTGTGACCTGGTTACCTTGGAGATGAGGTCGTCGTGGTTGGCCAGGTGAGCTCGGCAATGGGCACAGCTATACCTCCGATGACAATCATCCAAGTAGGCCTGAAACGTCTTGGGCTTTGAAATCCGCACCATGGCGGGGGCCGGGGGCAGTGGCCCCACGCGGGGAGCGGCCCACGGGGAGCAGAGGGAGCCCAGTGCCTGCAGGGGAGGGAGTGAGTGTGCTGTCAGGACCCAGGCCACACACATGCAGGCACACCCTGGGCCATGGGGACTCTCTCTGTCACACTTGGCTGCTGTCTCCTCTCCCCAGAGCCAGCAGCCTCTCCAGGGGCCAGAGTCGTCTCAGTTTTGACTCACTGAGGAGGCCTCAAATTGCATCAAAGGGGAAACTGAGGCAAGGAGGAGCCCTAGATGAGTCACCCATCTGCTTTGGGCCTCACCCCTGCTGACCTGGCAATTGAAACTGGAGGAAGGGGCTCTAGAGTGGATGAGCTGTCAGTTCTCCCTTTAGGAGTAGCAATGGACGGGTTAGGAGGTCCTTAGGACCTCTTCTGAACTGCCAGGGTTGGGGTGGGGGGTGTGACTTCACTTGAGGTACAAGGAGCTCACCCCGAGAGAGGATCCCTCACCTGGAGAAGGCAGGAGGCCTCACTGAAGGTGGAGGGTCACCTAGGAGGGGAGGGGATCTTACCTGGGGGCGCTGAGGCCTCGTCTATACCGAGGGGATCTTACCTGCATCGCGGAGCCTTACCTGAGACCCCGGGGCTCACCTGGGGCGCGAGG